AACACAATAAAACGTCATGAATAATTAACAGGTGGGCAAGTTGTTGTGTAATGCACCGTTGAACTTTGACCAATGGTCAAAGGTAAAAGCCCCGATGTGACCCCTGGACGTATTTTGGGCACTATTTACAACAATGACGTAATAGGAGACAAATGTTCCATCGACCAAGACCTACCTGTACTAACACCAACATTTCTGTCCTTAAGACTTCAACTCAAATCATAAAATTAAAGTACGAAAACACAATAGGGTGCAAATTTAGTGTGCGTCCTTACGAAGCGCATTGATTTCATTGAATAACACTAATCATTTTTCTTAGTTCCTCAATGTAACACAGCTTATAGTCCACTCACCTTGTTTCTTGTAGTGATGTCTTGCCTGATTTTTGCGGTGTGCAGTAAGCGGTGAACAATGACAACTGTTCCATGAACGTTGTGACACCGCGCCAGTGCCCTGTTGTACAGAGCAGTAGCTCTGGTCAAGTTTCTAGCGTCTCCAGTTTTTGTTCCTCTTTTCAGGTACACTTCACCCAGACTCTTGATCGCTTCTGTTTCTAACATGCTGTTGTCTTTTACTATCGCCTCTATCATCACCTGTGCGTATCCAACCAGCAAAGAGTCTGTGTTACCTCCGGTAGCCCTTGTCTTGTCCAGGGCTTGGAACTTTTCCGCTACCTTTGCAGGTGTAGTCGTCTCCTTGTCTTCAGTCGGCTGTTCCTTACCCTGCGACGATACCCCTTGTAAAAGCCTCTCCGTGTAGTGGTAGCGGTGTTCTATACCATCTGCCTGTTCTTCATGGTAACACCGTACCATAGCAGCCAGATAAAGCGTCAAGGCCGTGTTGAACTTCCCCACGTCCTTCCCGAGTCTTCCCTTCTCCACGTTCACGTCGCCCAGAGTTTTGAGCAGCTCCACTTCCGCCAGCCTGTCCGTGTCGGCCATGGCGTCCACCAGGGCACGGAGGTAGCCTGTCTCCGCCCGGGCTAGTCCGTACCTCCTGCCCCTCTCGTCCGCCTCACGGAGTTTCTCACACACCCGCAACATGGCGACCTTCCGCCGAGAGAGCGTCTGTAAAACTGTTCCCGTTCTCCGTGTTGGCTTTATGCGCGTGACTCGAGCAAACATAGGTCTGGACAAACATCCCGCTGCTGGTGTCAACATTACATCATCCGTCAGCCGATAACAAAGCTCAAAAGTCCAGTAACCTCACTTAAACGTCGGTAATACTCGTAAACATGCAGGTAGCGCGTGGTATTATTTGTTCTTAATGTTATGTGATTGATGCTAAGTCTCTAACTCTCACAGTCGTTTCTAGGATTGAGGTGTCGAACTATTGAGGTTTCCAAGCATCTGCACTATTATTTAAGTATTATTTAAGTAATTTGTCAAGAAGTACAAAAAAGACGCAGATAACTGTAGGTAAATAGATTTTACCACATCAGTTTAATTAGATCCATTACCACAAAGCACACTAGACCATGTAATTTACTACAGCTACTGAGGTCTAGTTTAGCTTTGAGGTCCATTATCACAAAGCACATCATGTAGGTATATTGGTTAGTATCCTGGCTATGTTCCAGAAGGAACTCTGCCGACAATTTTCAGCACTGCAGCTAGTTTGGATTCATGCCTCAAGCTACAAAATCATAAACGACCGCACGATGGCCGTGACCGGGCACTAACCTTACAGGTGACGACAGGTGTGTCCAAATATAACGTCAATACAGGAACGTCACGTGGCGACAGTTCGTCACGGCCAGGTAAACACAACGGCAAACAAAATGCCAGCAGTGAAACCCTGTCATATACCTAATGTTTATTGAAAGTTTATTGAAAGTTTATTGCAAATACATGCCCGAGGGCTAATTGCAGTTACAAACTAGAAAGGCCAATATTTGCTTTGGAGCAAATACAGCGATGGGTTCACCACATTTTACGACATGGCAGGGAAAGAATGAGAAACACAAGGGAAAACAGTGATTTACATTGATATAACTATAATATGAAGTAAAATACAACTAAAACAACAGTTGGATAGCTATTCCCTACTTTATTGGTTAGGATTTTTAATTGCATAATGCAAACTGTTGATTTTCAAAATAAAAAAAAAACGTCCATGCCCCGCATTCCAATGCTGGAGCAGGAAAGCTTGAAATACCTACCAAAACACTTGAATACAGACATACTGTCAGTATGGAAATGCTCTGTGCAGGTGTTAATCAAGTTAAATCCCAACAGCCAATCAGCAAGAAATGCTCTGTGCAGGTGGAAATGCTCTGTGCAGGTGTTGATCAAGTTAAATCCCAACAGCCAATCAGCAAGAAGAATAGAGGAAAGCTGCATGCCTATTGGTTGATGCCCTGCATTCCATTGTGATGACTCATGCCCAAACGTGGTAAACAAGGCACACTAACACAGTAATACATTTGCTATAACACAGCCAAAAAAACTCAAATAAAACCATTCTAAAAGCCTGTATCACAATAATTTAAAAAACGCCTAGGGGTATTTACCCACTCTACCTCTATACGAAATTACAGGTAATTTCGCCCAAAAATGAAGGAGTTGAATCAATTTAAAGAAGTGGCAGGAGAAGAAGAAGGAGGAGAAGAAACATCAGAAAAAGCAATATGGGTTCACCACCACTTCGTGGTGTGGTGAACCCATAAATAACAAAAGGAAAAAAGAATAACATACCAGTAACATACAATGGTATGTTACTGGTATGTTATTTCCATCATATCTTACATAGAATACATGTATTAAGACCTTACAAAAGTCGCCGAACTTTTGTTGTGTCAATAAAGTTCAGTGTTTTACCTACACGCTCTGGTGTTGGAAAAGACCTGCTTCGTACCTCCTGGACACGAGAGCTGCACTGGTCATGAGAAAGTCTATTCTTTTCTAAAAAGGTTATTTTCCTCCAATAACGCAACAATCTGTCACTTAATTCATTCCGACGCCTTCTACAGGAATTCATTCTTTCGGAAGACCTACCATTTGTTATGCTTTTAGGTTTCTTCCTGTTTTACTTGTATGTCTGTAGTGTTTTTGTATTATTTTAATGATGTATTGTACATGTTATATGGTTTTTTTACCTGAAATAAAGAATGAATGAAAAGAATGAATGAAAGTCTGTAGAGTTACAGGTGAGGAAAGAGGAACGTAGCGTGGCCACAGTTTGTCACAGACAGGTATTACTAAACACAGCGGCAAACAAAATGCCGGCAGCAAAACCCCATCATATACTTAATGTTTAATATAATCCTTTATTGCAAGTTTATGCCCGAGGGCTAATTGCAAACAGACACTGACAATAACAATGAATATAGAATGTAGCGATTTAAAACTATATGCTAACATGGAATACTACGTATACGATCTACTTATTTAACTTCCTATCTCTACTTTAAAACTAATATAACGTTGTTTATTACTACTATCATATACGTATAACACATGTATTACCTACATTCTCAGTTGTGGGGAAGACTAGCTTCATACCTCCTGGACATGAGAGCTGCACTGGTCATGAGCAAGTCTGTAGAGTTACAGGTGAGGAACAGAGGAACGTAGCGTGGCGACAGTTTGTCACAGACAGGTATTACTAAACAAAATGTCGACAGCGAAACCCCATCATATACTTGATGTTTAACAGAGTTCTTTATTCCAAGTTCATGCCCGAGGGCTCATTGCAAACAGACATTACCAAGAACAATGAGTACAAAATGTAGTGATTTAAAACTAGATGCAAACATGAAGTACCACGTATACGATTTACTTATTTAACTTACTAGTATCTCTACTTTAAAACTAATATAACGTTGTTTAATACTACTATCATATACGTAGAGCACATGTATTACCTACATGCTCAGTTGTGGGAAAGACCTGACTTGTACCTCCTGGACATGAGAGCTGCACTGGTCATGAGCAAGTCTGTAGAGTTACAGGTGAGGAAAGAGGAACGTAGCGTGGCGACAGTTTGTCACAGACAGGTATTACTAAACACAGCGGCAAACAAAATGCCAGCAGCAAAACCCCATCATATACTTAATGTTTAATAGAGTTCTTTATTGCAAGTTCATGCCCGAGGGCTAAATGCAAACACACGCAGACACTGCCGAGAACGATGAGTACAGAATGTAGTGATTTAAAACTAAACGCTAACATGGAGTACTACGTATACGATCTACTTGTTTAACTTACTATCTCTACTTTAAAACTAATATAACGTTGTTTAATACTACCATCATATCTAACATAGAATACATGTATTACCTACATGCTCGGTTGTGGGAAAGACTAGCTTCGTACCTAGATATGAGAGCTGCACTGGTCATGAGCAAGTCTGTGATAGGTGAGGAATAGGGGAACGTAACGTGGCGACAGTTTTTTTTTATTCATCAAAAACATCAAACATAACAAGGACAGTGTAGGGCTGCACTAAAGACAACTTATATTAACAGTGCCACACAACAAAAAACATTTAACGTTTAAATACACAAAGTTGACATTCCAGTGCGCCGACAGTTTGTCACAGACAGGTATTACTGAACACAGCGGCAAACAAAATGCCGACAGCGAAGTCACATCGCCAGTTGTACGGGCCCGGAGAAAGCTGGGGAAACGTGTGGACAAAGTTGACATACCAGTGCGCCGACAGTTTGTCACAGACTGGTTTTACTAAATATAGCGGCAAACAAAATGCCGACGGCGAAGCCACATCGCCAGTTGTACGGACCCGGAGAAAGCCGGGGAAACGTGTGGACAAAGTTGACGAACCAGTACGCCGACAGTTCGTCACAGACAGGTTTTACTAAACACACCGCCAAAAAAAATGCCGACGGCGAAGTCACATCGCCAGTTGTACGGGCCCGGAGAAAGCCGGGGAAACGTGTAGATGTGGGGACCCGGATGTGGGTCTGGTTAAACAGCTGTGCCTCGTGCACACGTGACCTGTCGGTCTCTTCTGGCAACGGCTTTCAGGTCGGTTAGCCTCTAACCAGGCCTGCCTGAGGGGGTATGGATGGTAGAATATGGGCAAAGAAAGTAGCCTTCACCAGGCCTGCCTAAGTCTAATGGGTTATGGATAGTAAAATAGCAGCAAAAATAGTAACCTCCTTCAGGCCTGCCCAATGGGTTCTGGATAGTAGAATATTGGCAAAAATGGTAGCCTCCACCAAGCCTGACTAAGAGGTTATGGATTGTAGAATATCTGTAAAAATAGTAGCCTCCACCAGGCCTGCCTGATGATGTATGGAGGGTAGAATATTGGCAAAAATAATATCCTACGCCAGACCTTCCTAAGGGGTTATGGATAGTAGAACATCTGTAAAAATAATACTTTATAGCCTCCACCAGGCCTGCCTAAGGGGTTATGGATAGTAGAATATTGGCATAAATAGTAACCTCTATCCAGGCCTGGTTATATATTGCATTTATATAGGTTTTTGTACACGTGAGGTCACAAGTTAATAAACAGGGTCAGGCAACATTTGTGGGCAAAGGAAGGCAGATATTTTCCGAGTCACATTGACTAAGACATACTATGGTATAGGAAACCATGTAAACACCTATATATAAAGAAATGACAAGAAGCACATGGCTCTGCTATATTGTAGTTGTATCATTATTATTATATTATATTATTATATATATTCACAAGTAGCCGACTAGTCATACTCCAAAATTCAAATTTCTAGAATGACGAACGAATTGCTGGTGGCCCGACATAAATCATTATCATGTCTGTGATGTTAGAAAACTAAGTTTCAAAATGGTCAGTCCACCCGTTATTCTAGATTGTTGAGCAATACATTTAAGTAGTGAAACGATATCGCAAAACAGAGTAGAGATGTACCGTAGCATCTCCATAGTTAATTACTCATATTGAGTCGCGATTTGTAAAATATAATAACTAACGACTTTTCTCTAATTGTGAAGGGCATTTTTACATAATCGAATGATTTTCAGTACTATTGCTATATTGGGATGTGACATGTTGCCCCTGTAAATAACTTTCATCATCTTCAGTGACTGTTCGTAATACTTCATAGCTTTCCTCTGATCACCAAGTTCATTCCAACAGTTCTCAATGTTGTTTAGTGATGAAGCAATGTCGGGATGTGGCGTTGTTTCCCCATAGATAGCTTTCCTCATCTTCAGTGACTGTTCGTGATAACTGATAGCTTTCTTACGATCACCAAGGTGACTCCAACATGCCCCAATGTTGTTTAGTGGTCCAGCAATGTCAGGATGTGCCGTTGTTTTCCCATAGATAGCTTTCTTCATCTTCAGTGACTGTTCGTAATAACTGATAGCTTTCTTATGATCACCAAGGTGACTCCAACATGCCCCAATGTTGTTTAGTGATCCAGCAATGTCAGGATGTGGCGTTGTTTTGCCATAGACAGCTTTCCTCATCTTCAGTGACTGTTCGTGATAACTGATAGCTTTCCTCTGATCGCCAAGTTTATTCCAACACGCTCCAATGTTGTTTAGTGATGAAGCAATGTCTGCATGTGGCGTTGTTTTGCCATAAATAGCTTTCATCATCTTCAGTGACTGTTCGTGATAACTGATAGCTTTCCTCTGATCACCAAGCTCATTCCAACATGACCCAATGTTGTTTAGTGATCCAGCAATGTCGGGATGTGGCGTTGTTTCCCCATAGATAGCTTTCCTCGTCTTCAGTGACTGTTCGTAATAACTGATAGCTTTCTTATGATAACCAAGGTGACTCCAACATGCCCCAATGTTGTTTAGTGATCCAGCAATGTCAGGATGTGCCGTTCTTTCCCCATAGATAGCTTTCATCATCTTCAGTGACTGTTCGTAATAACTGATAGCTTTCCTCTGATCGCCAAGCTCATTCCAACATGCCCCAATGTTGTTCAGTGATGAAGCAATGTCGGGATGTGACGTTGTTCTCCCATAGATAGCTTTCCTCATCTTCAGTGACTGTTCGTGAAAACTGAGAGCTTTCCTCTGATCACCAAGTTTATTCCAACAGCTCGCAATGTTGTTTAGTGATGAAGCAATGTCTGCATGTGGCGTTGTTTTGCCATAGATAGCTTTCATCATCTTCAGTGACTGTTCGTGATAACTGATAGCTTTCCTCTGATCGCCAAGCTCATTCCAACATAACCCAAAGTTGTTAAGTGATGAAGCAATGTCAGGATGTGGCGTTGTTTTGCCATAGATAGCTTTCATCATCTTCAGTGACTGTTCGTGATAACTGATAGCTTTCCTCTGATCGCCAAGCTCATTCCAACATAACCCAAAGTTGTTTAGTGATAAGGCAATGTCAGGATGTGGCGTTGTTTCCCCATAGATAGCTTTCTTCATCTTCAGTGACTGTTCATAATAACTGATAGCTTTCCTCTGATCACCAAGCTCTCTCCAATAATTCCCAATGTTGTTCAGTGATCCAGCAATGTCAGGATGTGGCGTTGTTTCACCATAGATAGCTTTCATCATCTTTAGTGATTGTTCGTGAAAACTGATAGCTTTCCTCTGATCGCCAAGTTTATTCCAACACGCTCCAATGTTGTTTAGTGATGAAGCAATGTCAGGATGTGGCGTTGATTCACCATAGATAGCTTTCATCATCTTCAGTGACTGTTGGTAATAACTGATAGCTTTCCTCTGATCACCAAGGTTACTCCAACAGTTCCCAATGTTGATTAGTGATGTAGCAACGTCGGGATGTGGCTTTTTGTCGCCGTAGATAACTTTCGTCATCTTCAGTGACTGTTCGTGATAACTGATAGCTTTCCTCTGATCGCCAAGTTCATTCCAACATGCCCCAATGTTTCCAAGTAATGAGGCAAAGTTGGGATTCGTTTCCGTGCCTGTATAAACAGTATTTCCAACGCTAAGTCCCCGTTCGTAGTAGCTGATCGCTTTTGTATAGTTACCGCGAATGGCACAGACATGGCCTAATTCAAAAAGTATTTCGAACTGCTTTTTCTCGACACCGGCTGCCTCTTCCAGTGCTGCCTCCAAGTGACGTCTGGATGCGTCTAATTGCAACAGCTCTCGTGTTATTTTGCCCTTTGTTAGAGATGTGGTGTCAAAGATGGCTGTTGGGAACATCTGTGTCATTGGATTTTCCTTTGCGACTGTATCAACAATGCATCTTTTTAATGGAATGGCTGTATAGTAGTATCTGAACAGCATTTTAGAATCTGGTATGTAAAAAACTGACTCAACAATAGTGTCATCTACGTCATGTTTGTCCAGTTGGACTTTCATCTCCGTGAGAGGAGACAGTCTGTCCTTCTGTCTTCCGTTGGCAATGTACGTTCTTAACCGTAGCTCCGCTGAGATGCTGATCAGTACAGTCAAGTGGTGGGCATCTTCGTCACTGATCCGCTGTGTCTTGTGTAACTCTTCTATCATTCCCCACACACTGGGGATCGTGATACCGCGGCAAATACTCAACACATCAACGGCCACGCTGGGAAAACGGTAGATTTCCTTCTTCACGTCCAGAAGTTGCGCCGTCGGTTCAGCATTTACTATTTGCTGAATATGTCCCCCTAGCATTAGTATTGCTGACAACCGTGACAGAACAGGGGAACGATCTACACTTTTGTTGACTCTGTCCATATATTCATCCACCAAAGACTCGTCTCCTGTTAAGTAGGTCACCCGTCTGAGGATGTCTGACAGGTGATAGCCTTCCGCCAGGGCGATGTGCAGACGCTGATATTCGGCCAACTTGGCAGGAGTCTGGATGAGACTAACGGGAGGTTTGCTTTTCGTTTGGTCTCTTCCAAACGGAGTCTTAGAAGCCCATGGCATGAAGCCGTCGAAGGCGAAGCCGCGAGGTGTGACAGAGTCGTAGAACCAGTTTTTCTCTGGGTCTTCTGAGAGAAAGTCGTTGAGTGACGGGATGGCCATGGCTGGGAGGATGGTTTCCCCAAGGTTGATGACTTTGAGATGTAAGTAGTGTGTGAGATTTAGGAAGTACCTCCGTGTATCATCATCATCCTTCCCCTCCTCAATTAGAATGGCGAACTCCAGGTCGGAGTACGGCGTCACCAGTTCTGTGGCCTGTGACCCCAACCCGATGAAAGCGTACTTACAGGGAGGACGTCCGAGTTTGGCGATGCATTCATCTGTCAGTACTTGGATAAACTCTTGTCTTCCAAATGTGATGCCCTTGAACAAGTTCTTGATTGCTTCAGCTCGTTTGGTCTCCACCTCTCTCACGACGGGATCGTCTTCATCATACTGATAAGGGTTGTGTTCCTGATGAATTGCGTCGAGCTGAGATTTTGCACGGGCGCGCGAGTTGTCCAGTTCCTTTATATGATCTAACGCGCTGCTATACGGACTCGGTTCACAGTCAAGGTTACAGGTGTTTCTAAGAAACTGCCTTTCTGTTTCTTGCAGTTTTGTTACCATGTTTTGTTTGTCTCCATCTGTTCTGGCCATGGAAGCGTTATACAGAGCTGCCGCCTGTGTGAATTTCCTACCTTCTCCTGTCCGCTTTCCTCGCTCGACGTAGACGTCACCCAACCTGCACAGACAGTCGGCCTCTTTAGCCTTTATAGGTTTACTCCGATCTGTTGGTAGGAAGAAGAAACAAAAATTCAAACATTTATATTTAACTTAGTTCCAATGATAATATTTGTGTTCCAGCTGACGGTTTCACTGAAAAAACACTGGATTTTAAAAATTCAATTTTTAAATAATTATCAAATGAATGATCTTTGCAAAGCAAGTGTATTTTAGACCTTTCTTAAGAAATTGGATGGAAAGAAAGTATATGACAGACCGTGAACCAGCTTCAGGGCGGCTGCTAGGTTCTGCTCTGCTGCGTCCAGGTCTCCATTTCCCAAGTCACGGTCTGCCGTCTGGATGTACCTGTGGTAGGATCTGAACAACGAGACATATTTAAAAAAAACACGTACTTCACAAATGCAACAAATGCAGGTCAATGTGTTACACTAAAGCAGATTATCCAAGCAATCATAAGTATTGTTATGTTAACCTGTACAACCTGGTCTTTTTCTACAACGTAAAAGAATAGCGTTATACACAGTAGCATTTGATAACGTGTGTAAGGCATCTCAATTATACAACGTCTTTACCAAGTTTTATGTTATGCTTTATTCTAAAAAAATGATTGCTAGAATATTCACTAGATATATACATGTCAAAGAGTTACTTGGTATGGAAACAACGCTCAATACATATGACACGAAAACATCGCACTAACATGTCGTCGTCAACTTGACTAGTGGTTCTGTCGCTAGAGGGCGCAGCTGAGAAGGCAGAGGAGTGGCCCTTCCGTCCTCTCACGTCTTGTCCTTCCGTACGTGTTGACCTCTGCGAGAACCGATAGGAAGTATATTATGATGATCAGGTAATCATGTAATCCACAAATGAATTTTGACCAATAGTCTAAGGTAAACGACCTGACATTGACTTTTAAACCACCTTTTGTCATGCCTTGTCACCCCTTTGTGATAAATAGCCACTGACTAGTTGGACTGCCCTGGCTGTGAGGGTTAAAAGACAAAACTAATGATTCTGTACAAGTCAACCCATAATTTTGTTCAGGAAATTAAGCAATGAAGTGAATTAATCGATATAAGGAGTTGGTATTACTCTAGATCAAGCCAATAAATGAAAAACCACACGACCTGACATAACCCCTGCAAGGTGAAAGCAAACGTTTCTAGGAACTGAAGATAGCTTTGACATAAAAAAAAATCATGAAAACGTCTTGAACATTTTTGTTTTCAAAGATTCCGTACAGACCCCGCCCATACTTTTGTTCGGGGAATTCAGCAAGAAAGTTAGTATTATAAAACCCAAGCTGGTATCGTAGCGAAAAAGGCATCCGAGCTTAAACGACACGATAATCTGTTTCGCCTCAGGGGATCTTTGGAGATAAACAGACCGAGTTGAAACCCGTGATTCTAGTCAGCAATGGCGAGTTCCATAATGCTCAAGTCAACATACAAGTAGTTCACTCACCTTGTTTCTTGTTGTGGTGATATCTTGCCTGATTTTTGCGGTGTGCAGTAAGCGGTGAACAATGACAACTGTTCCATGAACGTTGTGACACCGCACCAGTGCCCTGTTGTACAGAGCAGTAGCTCTGGTCAAGTCTCTAGTGTCTCCAGTTTCTGTTCCTCTTTTCAGGTACACGTCACCCAGACTTTTGATTGCTTCTGTTTCTAACATGCTGTTGTCTTTTACAATCGCCTCTACCATCACCTGTGCGTATCCAACCAGCAAAGGGTCTGTGTTGCCTCCGGTAGCCCGTCTCTTGTCCGGGGCTTGAAACTTTGCCGCTACCTTGTCTTGTCTTGTTCAGGTACTGCACAACACCCCTAGATTGGGGTAAAGCGTGCAGGGGAGCTGCGCGATGCGTTATTGCTGCTTCCTCAGGTGTTGTAGTACTGCAGCGTTGAACTTCGTGGGTTCCGCAGTATCAGATATCTCTTGGGGCAAAATGTTCCAATCTCTGACAGTTTGTGGAAAATATGAATATTTGTAGCAGTCTTTGTGGAACGTTAGAGGTTTGTATGAGTTGGAGTTGAAGTGTCGCGATTGGCGCGGGATAGGTGTCAACAAGGTTTTGACCGGAAGGGCTGTTTTTGAGTGTCTTGCTTTCTGAAGTAATGTGAGTCTACTTGCTGTGCGTCTGTCCTTTAATGTGTCCCACCCTAAATCTGTGACCAATTTGGTAGTGCTGGCATAAGTATCATAGGTATTAGAAACAAATCTGGCCGCTCTTTTCTGGACCGATTCTAACTTGTGAATATGTTCCTTGTAGTACGGATCCCATGCAGCGCTAGCGTATTCAAGATGGGGTCTGACTAAACTAGTGTATGCATTCATCTTAACTGATTTAGGACAGCTATAGAGATTGCGTTTAATAAAACCTAGTGATTTATTTGCTTTGGAAGTAATATGATGGATGTGTTCAGTCCAAGAAAGTTTGTTGTTTAAGATAACCCCTAGGTACTTGTGATTATTAGCCTCAGCTAGTGTATGGCTCCCTAGTTTGTAGTCGAATACTTTAGTTTTGCGTTTATGGGTGTAGCGCATGACATAGCACTTATCAGGGTGTAGTTCCATTTGCCAATTGCACTGCCATGCGTCTAACGTGTTTATATCATCTTGTAGTAGGATATGGTCATTGTGGTTATTTATTTCTCTGTAAATGACACAGTCGTCGGCGAAAAGCCTGATGTTAGAGTTAAGGTTATCAGCCAGATCATTTATGTATACTAGGAACAATAAAGGCCCTAGTACGGTGCCTTGGGGTACTCCAGAAACTACTTCTGCCCAATCTGAATGTTCCCCCCCAACTACCACCCTTTGTTTACGTTTTTTAGGAAGTTAGAAATCCACTGGAGGAGTTTGCCTCGGATACCGTAATTATGTAGTTTTAAGAGAAGACGGTTATGGGTGCAGGTGTCGTCGTCTCCTTGTCTTCTGTTGGCTGTTCCTTACCCTGTGACGACACCCCTTGTAAAAGCCTCTCCGTGTAGTGGTAGCGGTGTTCTATACCATCTGCCTGTTCTTCATGGTAACACCGCACCATAGCAGTCAGATAAAGCGCCAAGGCTGTGTTGAACTTCCCCCACGTCCTTCCCGAGTCTTCCCTTCTCCACGTTCACGTCGCCCAGAGTTTTGAGCAGCTCCACTTCCGCCAGCCTGTCCGTGTCGGCCATGGCGTCCACCAGGGCACGGAGGTAGCCTGTCTCCGCCCGGGCTAGTCCGTACCTCCTGCCCTTCTCGTCCGCCTCACGGAGTTTCTCACACACCCGCAACATGGCGGACGCTTGCTACGCTAAGGATGTCTCTAAAACCCCTTGTCGTCACGGGCACAGCTTTCTGTATATTAATTGTTTGTGACTCACTTGAAGAACAGGTTTTACACGGCTTGCGTCAGCATTACGTCATCTGTCAGTTCAAGGGTCAAGGATTGAATGCACGGCACATCCACGCAGATACTCGCAGACATTTCATTTTATTGTTAAGTAACTTGCTTATTATCTACCTAAGACGTACGCCCAGGCCTTTGACTGTTGTTCCAAATATTACAGATTTTGTCTGGCCGCCGCCATTGCAACTTTAGGTGATAGTCCATTGTCCTCTTTGATTTGATCTATAGCTATCTGTGTGGTGTGGTCTCCGGATCCCCCTTAGCCCCTAGGGAAGCCCTGGAGGCATACCATGTCCACATAGTCTATTGACAATGGCAACATGTCATGGTCCCCACTTGGTATGTGTATTCAGTATTAGCACGCAGACCAATGTACTTAGGTTGATGCCCTAACTTTAAAAGGTATACCATATATACAGTGTGGTCTGTTGGTCTGTGCTGGTGTTTGTGTACTGCTGGCTTTTAAATTCATAATCTGGTCACATACCCCTGACTTCATGCACTACAGCCGTCAACCCCGGTGACTTGGCCTGCCTGTGACTGGCTCGGACTGTTTCCCAACAAGACAAAACCACCGGGACGGGCTCATCTTCCAGGCGGCTGCAGTGCTTACAGTGGGCCGAGGGAGCTCGCCTGAAGCCCTGGGAGAGGCTGGTTACGAGGCTACTACTTTTATCGATAACTTCCTTAAACCTAAACGCAAATTAGCAGGCAGAATACTTACACCTGGGCTGGGATTAAAACCCGGAACTTCTGGTCTCCAAACGGGAGCCTTAACCACTAGACCAGCCTGAGGACGATGGCCTGTTATGCTTCATAAGTTAACCCTTTTATCCTTTTTTTAACCTTTAAGCGTGTATTTTGTAGATATGCGGTGCAAGAAATCACTAATGGTGCGCCATATGCGCTTCATTGTGAGAATTCCATCTAATAACAAAGTACAGGAATGGGTCAAGATAGTGACTTCTTGTCCATCATGTCCACTTTATTGCTTTGTGTCCGAAATCCCCCTCCAGCACAACTCATTGCAGAATCGGATCCTTATTCACTCTAACGTCCGTTCAAATGTCGGGGTTTCCGAACAACCGCACACGCAGGTTCTACACTATAAACATGTAACATGTCCCACAGCAGGTCGGTATAAACGGACGGAGACGGCTGGAAATGCAAGGGTTTAGCAGCCCGCTGTCTGCATTCACGTTTTGTGCTCGTGCGGGCACAGATTATGAACCGATGTCTGAGCAAATACAAATATTTTCCTCCCATCTCTTCTACATTATTTAACATCAGACGGACTATCTCACAGCTTGTGTACAATATTGTATGGATTGTGATCAGAGCTACGTCATTTTTTCCTCTTGAGATGCCTTCACATTGGTTTGGTCGATTTATTTATATAACACCCCGCAATTCAGACGTAAATTCGGGGGTTGTTCATGCGGAGATGGAAAAGCTGCATAAACCACCCACATAACTCAGGTCAGGTATTTTATCTACAAAACTACATGGGTCCCCTTTCTCTCCTAGAGATATTTGAAATGTCACTACCTACAAATAATTGACTTTTCTGTACATTCATATTAGACTTTTTTAAAATGGCGATTCCCAATAACTAACGGCTTAACTCTAATTACGGAGGGCACTTTTACATAATCGAATGTTTTTCAGTACCTTTGCTATGTTGGGATGTGACATGTTGTCCCCATATTTAACTTTCATCATAGCGACTGACTGTTCGTAATAACTAATGGCTTTACTGTGATCACCGAGTTTGTGCCAACAGTTCCCAATGTTGTTTAGTGATCCAGCAATGTCGGGATGTGGCGTTGTTTCGCCATAGATAGCTTTCATCATCTTCAATGACTGTTCGTGATAACTGATAGCTTTCCTCTGATCGCCAAGCTCATTCCAACAGTTCCCAATGTTGTTTAGTGATGAAGCAATGTCGGGATGTGGTGTTGTTTCGCTGTAGATAGCTTTCCTCATCTTCAGTGACTGTTCGTGAAAACTGATAGCTTTCCTCTGATGACCAAGGCCCTTCCAACAGTTCCCAATGTTGTTTAATGATGAAGCAATGTCGGGATGTGGCGTTGTTTCGCCATAGATAGCTCTCCTCATCTTCAGTGACTGTTCGTAATATCTGATAGCTTTACTCTGATCGCCAAGGTCACCCCAACATGCCCCAATGTTGTTTAGTGATGAAGCAATGTCGGGATGTGGCGTTGTTTCCCCATAGATAGCTTTCATCATCTTCAGTGACTGTTCGTAATATCTGATAGCTTTACTCTGATCGCCAAGGTGACCCCAACATGCCCCAATGTTGTTTAGTGATGAAGCAATGTCGGGATGTGGCGTTGTTTCGCCATAGAGGGCTTTCATCATCTTCAGTGACTGTTCGTAATATCTGATAGCTTTACTCTGATCGCCAAGGTCACCCCAACATGCCCCAATGTTGTTTAGTGATGAAGCAATGTAGGGATGTGGCGTTGTTTCGCCATAGAGGGCTTTCATCTTCTTCAGTGACTGTTCGTAATAACTTAGAGCTTTTCTTTGATCGCCAAGGTCACTCCAACATGCCCCAATGTTTCCAAGTAACGAGGCAAATGTGGGTCCATCAATATTTTTTCCAATGCTAAGTGCCCGTTCGTAAAAGCTCTTCGCTATCTCATAGTCACCGCGGCTGTAAGAGGCATTGCCTAATTCATAAAGTATTTCGAACTGTTGTTTCTCGTCACCACCCGTCTCTTTCAGTGCTGCCTCCAAGTGACGTATAGATGCGTCTAACTGCAACAACCGTCGTGTTATTCTGCCCTTTGTTAGAGATGAGGTGTCAAAGATTCGTGTTGGGAATATCGTTGTCGTCAGATTTTTCGCTGCAACTGCATCCACAATGCATCGTTTTAACGGAATGGCTGTATAGTAGTACCTAAAAAGCATTTTTGAGTCTGGTATGTAGAAAACTGATTTAACTAAAGTGTCATCTACGTCATATTTGTCCAGTTGGACTTTCATCTCCGTGAGAGGAGACAGTCTGTCCTTCTGTCCTCCGTTGGCAATGTACGTTCTTAACCGTAGCTCTGCTGAGATGCTGATCAGTACAGTCAAGTGGTGGGCATCTTCGTCACTGATCCGCTGTGTCTTGTGTAACTCTTCTATCATTCCCCACACACTGGGGATTGTGATACCGCAGCAAATACTCAACACATCAACGGCCACGCTGGGAAAACGGTAGATTTCTTTCTTCACATCCAGAAGTTGTGCCGTCGGTACAACATTTTCTATTTCGCGAATGTTATCCTTTTCCTTCAGTATTCGCATTGCTAAGAACCGTGACAGAACAGGAGAATGGTCTACGCTTTTGTTGACTCTGTCCGTATAATCATCCACCAAATGCTTGTCTCCTGCTAAGTAGGTCACCCGTCTGAGGATGTCTGACAGGTGATAGCCTTCCGCCAGGGCGATGTGCAGATGCTGATATTTGGCCAACTTGGCCGGAGTCTGGATGAGACTAACGGGAGGTTTGCTTTTGGTTTTGTCTCTTCCAAACGGAGTCTTAGACGCCCATGGCATGAATCCGTCGAAGGCGAAGCCGCGAGGTGTGACGGAGTCGAAGAACCAGTCTTTCTCTGGGTCTTCTGAGAGAAAGTCGTTGAGTGACGGGATGGCCATGGCTGGGAGGATGGTTTCCCCAAGGTTGATGACTTTTAGATGTAAGTAGTGTGTGAGATTTAGGAAGTACGTCCGTGTATCATCATCATCCTTCCCCTCCTCAATCAGAATGGCGAACTCCAGGTCGGAGTACGGCGTCACCAGTTCTGTGGCCTGTGACCCCAACCCGGTGAAAGCGTACTTACAGGGAGGAGGTCCGAGTTTGGCGATGCATTCATCTGTCAGTACTTGGATAAACTCTCGTCTTTCAACTGTGATGCTCTTGAACAAGTTCTTGATTGCTTCAGCTCGTTTGATCTCTACCTCTCTCACGACGGGATCGTCTTCATCATACTGATAAGGGTTGTGCTCCTGATGAATTACTTCGAGCTGAGATTTTGCACGGGCGCGCGAGTTGTCCAGTTCCTTTCTGTGATCTAACGCGCTGCTATACGGACACGGTTCACTGTCAAGGTTACAGGTGTTTCTAAGAAACTGCCTTTCTGTTTCTTGCAGTTTTGTTACCATGTTTTGTTTGTCTCCATGTGTTCTGGCCATGGAGGCGTTATACAGAGCTGCCGCCTGTGTGAATTTCCTACCTTCTCCTGTCCGCTTACCTCGCTCGACGTAGACGTCACCCAACCTGCACAGACAGTCGGCTTCTTTGGCCTTGTTGGGTTTACTTGGGTCTGTAGGTGGGAAGAGGAAATAAATTGAGAAATTATTGAGATTGATCATTAATGGATGATATTTGTGTTTGAACGTGTGGAGATTCATACTCGGGTAAAAGTAAACTTGTTAATTGATAACTATGCAAGTATGAAAATTTGAATATTCTATTATAGAGGAAATTGTTTTGAAACTTTCTTGAATTTTAGACCTTTCATAATAAAATAAATGGAAAATGTATAACATACCGTGAACCAGCTTCAGGGCGGCTGCTAGGTTCTGCTCTGCTGCGTCCAGGTCTCCATTTCTCACGTGACGGTCTGCCGTCTGGATGTGCCTACGGTAGGATCTGAACAACGAATTATGTTTTGAAACAAAGGTTCTTTACAAAGTTGACAAATGCACCATGAACATCGTTGTATCAAGTTGTGTATGCAAAACATCTATTTATATAGCTACATAAATCCGTGCAACATACCCTATTGTAGCGACGTTATAGCATTTAATAGATATATTTCCTAACGTTGCCTAAATGATCTTCACCTAAACTTGATTTTACCAGGTTTAATAGTAGGCCATATTTCTTTTTAAAAATACTAGATGGTACCGTATTCATATCTATCATACTGTTGTTTGGATTTAAAACAACAATACTAATACACTAGACAAGGAAACATAGAGGCACTAACATGTCGTCGTTAACTTGACTGGTAGTGCAGTCGCTAGAGGGTGCAGCTGAGGAGGTTGGGAATTGGCCCTTCCGTCCTCTCACGTCCTGTTGCTTTTGCTTACGTGTTGCCCTCTGCGAGAACCAACAAGAGGTCAATAATTAACAGGTGAGCAACCAAACATTTGAAGGACGCGACGTGATTCGTTGATACGTGATTGATGCGCAATTGTCAAAGGTTGTGGTCCGTAGAAGGTCACTATGTTGCATATGTGTTGAACCCGGTAAGAAGTCATAAATGGCTAACAGACTGAGTGTTTGTTTAAAAGAACGTTGAAGAATGGTCTAACTGGAATGCTGACGTTTGGCACAATTGACTACAATGACGTAATAGGGCAAATATTTTTCATTTGCCAAAACCTACGTTTACCCACAGGCCAAAAGGGTTAGTATTCATAGCTTTTTGACCGATTTTGTCCTCAAAGATACTGAACTAGAAATCTAACGTTTGCAAAGCAAATCAACAATGTTTACCTTTGCATATGGTCTGCTCTGTTAATTCTTACTCAAACACATTCATATACTAGTATATGGTGACACGGAGTGTATTGCAACATGATGTAAGCCAACAAATGTACCATGGTGACAGACGTCACGTGACCTTTGGTGTTTCAAACGGAAGAGAAAACAGGGCAAAAACAATATATTTTCCTTCGGTAAACATACCTAAATTACCTCAAATAATAAATTTATTTGCTGAAGTAGGAAGTAACAACAAGGAGCATTTGTGATTGTGCTGAAGCTGATATCAGTCTGGAGAAAAATATCTCTAACTCATCATGACACTACTCATGTACCGTGATTCCCCAAGAGCTAATTAATTCTCTCACCTTATTTCTCGTTGTGGTGACATCTTGTCTGATTTTTGCAGTGTGCAGTAAGCGGTGAACAATGACAATTGTTCCATGAACGCTGTGACACCGCGCCAGTGCCCTGTTGTACAGAGCAGTAGCTCTGCTCAAGTTTCTAGTGTCTCCAGTTTCTGTTCCTCTTTTCAGGTACGCGTCACCCAGACTATTGATCGCTTCAGTTTCTAACATGCTGTTGTCGTTTACTATCGCCTCTACCATCACCTGTGCGTATCCAACCAGCAAAGAGTCCGTGTTACCTCCGGTAGCCCGTCTCTTGTCCAGATCTTGAAACTTTCCCGCTACCTTTGCAGGTGTAGTCGTCTCCTTGTCTTCAGTTGGCTGTTCCTTACCCTGTGACGACAGCCCTTGTACAAGCCTCTCCGTGTAGTGGTAGCGGTGTTCTATACCATCTGCCTGTTCTTCATGGTAACACCGTACCATAGCAGCAATGTAAAGCGCCATGGCTGTGTTGAACCTCCCCACGTCCTTCCCGAGTCTTCCCTTCTCCACGTTCACGTCGCCCAGAGTTTTGAGCAGCTCCACTTCCGCCAGCCTGTCCGTGTCGGCCATGGCGTCCACCAGGGCACGGAGGTAGCCTGTCTCTGCCCGGGCTAGTCCGTACCTCCTGCCCTTCTCGTCCGCCTCACGGAGTTTCTCACACACCCGCAACATGGCGGACACTTGCTACGCTAAGAAATTGTCTCTAAAACCCCTTGTCTTCGCGGGCACAGTTCCCCTTCTCAGCTTGCCTGACTTGGACAGGCACATGTTTCACACTGCTTGTGTCAACATTACATCATCCGTCAATGCAGAGGTCAAAGGTAAAATACACAAAAGGTTCGGAAATACCCGTGTCCGTAAACATATCAGGTAACCTGCCTACCTGCAAAACACTTTAAGTGCCGGCGCCGGGGCCTCTTGCTTTCTTATCACAGTTTTCCAGGCAGTCTGATTCTTCGCTGCCACCACTGCGTCTCTAGGTGCTTAAAAAAGTCCAGTGTCTTCTTTGATTTTTATCTTTCCGCCATTTGAACTCTTTCAGGTGGTCTCGTGTTCGGGAAAGCCTGTTGGTACACCTTTATATACCATATCTGTACACCCAGAAATTACAGTATATTGGTGAGTGGCCCCAACTGGACACTCGAATTCCTACCTACCCAAAAAATATATTATAGTCTACTCAGGCGTATACATTGTACAGTCTGTTGGTGTATGGCTCTATGCTAATGTTTTCTACCCCTAATTATAACCTAGCACAAATGTCAACGTTTGAATTGTAGTGTCGTATATGGTGTCAGTGTTTTCTGTAACCCTAGTGACAAAGACAACATGTCACGGTCTGTAGCCTCTACCGCGGTTCCCACTTGGTATGTGTATTCACGCGGACCGCTGATTCTGTACTAAGGTCAATGCCCTGGTATGGTAACCCTACTTTAAACTTTTAACCTGATCACCAGCCTCTCCCAGGGCTTTATTGTAGCCGTACATGGTGTTAATTTTTGTAACCCTAGTGACAGTTACATGTCACGGTCTGTGGCCTTTACCGTACTTCCCACTTGGTGTATGTGTATTCACGCAGGCCACTGATTCTGTACTAAGGTCAATGCCCTCGTATGGCACCTCTACTTTTAAGTTTTAACCTGGTCACCAGCCTCTCTCAGGGCTTCATTGTAGCCGTACATGGTGTTAATATTTTGTGCGTCCCTAGTGACAGTTGCATGTAACGGATTAGTGGCCTCTACCACGGTTCCCACCCCATATGTGTATTTACGCGGATCGGTTATTCTCTACTAAGGTCAATGCCCTGGTGTGGTAACCCCACTTTAAAGTCCTAACCTGGTCACCAGCCTCTCCCAGGGCTTCATTGTAGCCGTACATGGTTTTAATTTTTTGTGAACCTTAGTAGTGAGAGGTACAAGTAACGGTCTTTAGTCTCTACCGTAATTGTCTTCGTCAGAAGGACTATGAAATTGTCTCGCCGGAGTGTGGGGAACTGCGGATTTTGCGATATAACTCTGGAAGGCATGATTCGACGTCCATGATTTTAGGCAGGCAGATTACCGCTGATAAGGCCAAAGTCAAGTACAAGTTTTGGCTTCGTGGGGGGTCCATGCGTCACGTAAGTGCACCTTTTGTGTTTGTGGCTTGTTAGCAAGATAACTCAAGTATTTGTAAAATGTTGATTATAATTCTTGGTGTGGTGCTTACTATTGTCGGGACCAAGGTTAAGTTCGTTACTGAGCTTCGTGGGGGGTTTCGTTGTGACTACAGGGGGCATTTTGTTAATTTTTCTTGTGAGCAGGATAACTTTTGTATGTGTGGATGGAAGTTAATGAAATTTGATAGGCATATTACTGTCGTGGTCTCCAAGATTGAGTTCAAAGATGAGAGTCGTGGAGGTCGTTATGTCCCCGTAATAGGACCTTTTGTGTTTAGAAATCCCCACCTACATCTGCTTGGAGACAGCCGACAGCTGGATATAGCGGGGAACCCCATAATAATGGATGGGATCAAATGACGTTACATTGAGGGATTGTACTATAACTTCAGCAGGGGGAGGATAGGTTGGACATATGTCAGGTTATTTTCTACGGCCACACCAAGTAATTGCTATGGATGACGTCCACTAGAGACCTCAAATCTAATTACCTTAAATTAAGGAAAGCGCGCAATAAAAACACGAAGGGCCGAAAAACGAGATGCCTAGATTTGGAATATACTAACTGTAGAAGTACAAATGTTAGGACACAAAGAACACAAGAAACAAGTCTTCTATTTGTCATAGAGACAAATTAACAAAACAGCAGTAGTCACCTGTT